AAACCTTGCCACGCAAAACCAACACAAACAGTCGTTGGAAAAGCACTTGCAGTAAGTGTTTCTGCGGTGGCAACAAAGGGAAGCAAAGACAAGTAGTGTTGATCTCACCACATAATCAGGGTTGTACTGTTGCTTGATCCCCAGCTTTTTTATTTTACCCTCTCTGCTTGCCTTGTTATCCCAAACGTCAGGTCTTGAGGGGGCTGAAATTGAGTTAAAATCTTTTTCATTAAATGGCTGGATGGCTTCTGGGACTGTTTTACCATTGGGTCGTGAGCGGAAATGGGACTCAAGGTGGTCATGTGTGCGAGGTAAAGCCATTTGATGGCCATTTAGTGACACGAGAATGATAGAAGTCCTGACGACAGTAATACTACTTAAGGCAGCATCTCTTTATAGATACAGCCATCATAACTGATGCTAGTCAGTCCTTGGCAGTGAGGCCAAAGACTGAATGGTCCATAAAAAACTAAGCTCCCTAATCAGCCGTGGAGATCATCCTTCTAGACTTACAAAACAGCATGAGAGAATTGAAACTACTCTGTCTTGTAAGCAAATGAAGGAGATTTTTTGCAGTGCATCACAAACAAAAAGCCGACTTCTCAAAGAAACAACAGCTGACGCTCGCCTGTCATGTATGTTCTTTGGTTGCGTCTGATTATCTTGGATACATGACGTATTATCTGTGTTTGTTTAAGCAAGTCTTTTCTTCTGAGCAGGTCTGCATTGCTGGGAAGACATTGACAAGTTAAATTGTTTTCCTAAGCTCGAGGAAGTGAAATTGCTAGGAATCCCTTTGCTGCAGTCCTACACCACTGAGGAACGCAGGAAGCTGCTAATAGCCAGGTCTGTTGCTTGTTTATGCAGAAGCATTACATGGCGATGAATGGCTGGGAGCGGGTAATTAGAGGAAGAGGCTGTTAGGAGATGGAGTTTTGTATGAATTCACTGCTCAGAAAGATTTGAGCTTTTTTTTGTTGTGTGGGAAAGTGGGAGTAGTGGAAATGTTAAGTCTAACTTCTGTACTTTTCACATACTTTTTTGAGTCTCATACGTGCCTGTGCATGCGATACATATATGTGGCACAATGAAAATGCTTAGGTTTGAATGTGCTTGGAGAAACTGCGTGGAACTTGCCCCCTCTTTTGAGATGACTGAGGCGTAAGCTACCTGGCAGGATTCTCCTGGTGCTAACGTCGTGGCACGTAGCTTTTGATGGTGGCTGTCTTCTTGGTCACCCTCTCCGGGTTTCTCTTCTTGCTGACTGTATTTCTTGGTGTCTGCATGCAGGTTGCCATCTATCGTCAAGCTCAACGGAAGCATCGTTGCCGATGGGGAGCGAGAGGACTCGGAGCGATTCTTCATCCGATATTACATGGAGTTCCCAGAGGAAGAAGTCCCATTCAGGTATGAATTCTCTGTTGTGGGATGGAGAGCAAGGCAGAAGGGCGGCGAGGTGACTGAACAGATGATGTTACGTGGCACGGGCAATCCGGGCTAGCTGTTCCATGAAGAAAACATCCCTCGCCTTCCTCGATTTGTTTTAGTTAATGTCGTTATATGAGAGTGTTGTCTGATGACTTGTAGAATCACTTCTGAGTCAAAGTCGGCCTTAAAGTGTCCGCGTCAAGTGCCATTAAACAACATGACTGTTCAGTTCATGATCTTCATTGCTTCCTGACCTCCCTGATGGCTAGCTTCGTAATCCACCTGTGTTTGGAAGTCCCCAAAAGCCAGTGCAGATTGTGCTCTCTGGTGCCAGGCTGGGGCATCTAATTCTCTTGACCATCTGGTGTGTGGAATGTGACTGGCGAAGGGAAGCTGTCCCCTCGCTTTCAGGCCTGCAAATCGCCAGTCTGATGGTTTTTCTTTGCCAAAAAAGTATGCCCAATGATCTGTTAATCTTGGTAAACTAATGAACTTTGACAGATGCTGTTCAGTCGGTATCTTCTCTGTGCCAGCATCTACTTACTGCTTCTTAATGGGCTGAGGGAGGATCATGGAGCATCGAGCCACTGCATTTACATGCTTTTTGCCCTAAAGCCCTCGTGCACTTTTCAGACAACAAAGCTCTATAGCCCTTTCTTTACAGAAAGGGGGTAGGACAAGAGTATGTGTGTGTGTCCCCGTGTCCAGGGGGACAGGCAGAGTCAGGGACAAACTGAGGTAGAGAAGGTTAAAGGTATGACCTGCTGTAGATGACAAAGGTGCGAATAGAATCTGGTCGGTATTTACATTGGCTGGTCAGTGTTTCCCCCAGCTTAACTCTTAGGTAAAATGTCTCTTGTTTTTTCGAAAGCACTGTGTATGTGACCTGCCAATACAGTAAGGGCATGGGAAGGCTGGACTGGAGAATGAGGGCATGGCGTTTTGTATGAATACTAATAGGTCCGGCAATTATAGTATTTGTTAAAGGTGTACTGGGGTCAGTTCAGAGGCGAAGGGTACTAATGCAGTCAGGGAGACAAGACAGCTGGTGATCCCTCTTGTGCCTTTTTCTGAGGACAAGTCCTGGCTTGTAATTTTAGAAGCCCTTGAAGCGGAAAAATTGAAAGAAATATTGGAAGAGAGAGCAGCAGAGGCGGAGAATGCAGAGGAGAGGAAGGGGAAGGGGAGCAGCATCACGAGCTCGTGATGCTGCTCCCAAATTGGATTATTTTCCATAACATTTTATTTCCAAGAAAACTGTTTCATGTCTCTCTGTTTGTGGCTCCAGAGAGGGGAGAATAGCAGGGCAGCTGAGCCCAACAGCAACAACGGCATCCTGCCCTTTGGCGAGCAGGGCTTGGGCTGACCTGGAAAACCAGCTGGGAGAAGGCAAGGCAGGCCCTCGTGCTGAAAGTGGTGTATTTGGTTGTGGACTAGGAGGGGTGGGAACTAAGGCACAGGTAGCCCTTTGATCCTGGTGGAACGGGTGTGCTGCCCGGAGCTCAGGAGGGAGGGTTTACGCACGAGAGGGAAGGTAAATAAATAGCTGGCAGGGGATCTTTTCCTGCTGGACTTGTGCCTGTGGGTATTGTGGTGACAGGTGCCTTGCATGTCCAGGACTCCTATATTGCTGAGGAGGACACAGTGGGGTATAGCTTTAGACATGCACGATGCTGCTGTCAGGACGTGGACTTTGGGAACAGGCCGTGTGCACCCATGTAGTTACACGGTACCACACACAACTGGGGTTGGTTTCCAGGTGGGAGATCATTTAAGAAATTACTAATAACTCACTCATCCAAAAAAGCTGGGCTGATCTTGACTAACATGCCTGCTTTAGGCTATTTTGGTAAGATACAGGAGAATTACCTCCCCTTCTGATTTCTCACTGTTCAAACAGTGTTACTGCCCTTTTCGTGGTCAATGGGGCTCTTTGTCTGAATCCCTTCATCTGTGCAAGTGTTTCCAAGAGACTTGTGCAGCCACTAAAGAGGGCTGTTCTGTTCTGGAGGGGTTGTGTGCTGCTCCAGACTATTTTCTAACGAGGCTGCAGATGGCTGAGAGCGTCCGTAGCCCTGAGGGCCGGGTTTCAGTTCCTGGACCTGTACACAACAGCCCTTGTAGGAAGGGAAACCTGGCATTCTTTGCAGAGGGTTTTTGTGCGCGTGTTGCTAAAGCTTCCTCCTCTTTGCTCCCAAATCTGGTGTGGTCTCTCTGAAGGTTGTTTGTAATTAGAATCTAATCAGAACACACACATGTTCTTGCTGGGGGTATGGCATCTGCATTGCAGTGCTGCCACAAGCGGAGGAAGAAGACGCACTTGGGCACGGAAAACTTAACAATGTAAGCAGCCCCCCTCAAGACTGTCGAGGTGCAAGATGCAATAAGCAAACTGCACGCAATCCCCCCTGCTCGCATTGCTTGTCTTCACGGGCTGCAGCTCAAAGGGATGGGAAAGGGAGGGAAATGGACAGAATAATTTCTCTCTCTGGATGTCATGTGTTAGAAAGGAGCGCCGAGCATACAATCCAATATTGGCTGTCTTCTTGAGTGACGTCTTTGTGTCTGTGGGTTTTTTAATGAGTCCTCTGCTTGTCTGGTCCACTGTTTATCTGCAGAGTATCACAGGCGCTTTTAGCCAGGCTCAGTTCTTCAGCATCCTCTGCTCCGGCAGCCAGCGTCTGCCAGGCTGCAAGGGGTGATTATAAAAGTCTCCAGGGTGCCTATTATCGGGGTACAAAAGAACCATATGAGCAGCGTGCCTTTGTCCTTACTGATTTGAGGGAAGCCAGTCATTCAGACTCCTAACTTTCTTTGCAGGCTGCAGCTAGCGTACAAGGAGCAGGCTGCGCAGCTTATTCTGCCTTTCCTCTGCATGAGAAAATTTAAGACAACGTTGCCTGACCCTCTGCATATTCACAGCATGGGTTTGGGTAATCTTAGCCCGCTCATGGTACTTCTCTCTCTCAGCTTGCTTGAAATTTGTCCCCCCTCTTCATACTCTTCCCACCATCAGCCCTGTTCGTTGCGGTTCCCCTTAGCGCATGAATTGTGGCAGTACTTCTGGTCAGCACGGGAGAAATTGTTGCTGGTCTGCAGCGGAAACTGTGCCACAAAAGAAATCCTCCCCGTCGGCGACATGCTGGCTAGCGCTCGCTCTTACTGTGGGCGGTAGCCCGGTGGGTAAAATATGGGGAGCGCGTTGTCTCCTCTCAGTACTAATGGCTTTTCCGAATAAATAGGCCTGATCCTATCACCCAGGTGCCTGTGAGAGCAGGGCACTGGCCTGCCTTTGGACACTCTGCCCTGGTGAAGGTTCGTTTTGTCCGTGAGACTGGGGAAATCCTAGTGCGTTGTGGCCCTTACCTAATTTCCCGGCAGACAGAGGGTCTGCTGTTCTCCAGGAACATTCCAGCCTTCAGCAGTGCTCCCTGGGGTCACCCGGCCTGCCAGGTCCCATCATCTCTCGACAGGGGCCGTGACACAGCACCGATCGCATTCAGCTCAGGCTCGGATCGGGAACAAAAAGAGCTTTCTGTACAGCACATAGCGGAGGGCCTCTGAAACGTTAGCTTTTCTCAGCAGCTCTCAGCCTTTGTCATTTCAATCACATTGTGTTTTGTCTTGCCGTCTCACCTCTTTCCCAGCCAGGCAGGGGAGATGCGGCCTTGCCCGATCAGAACGATACCCGCTGAAGGCGGCGGGAGGGTGAGGCGGGCTTTCCATTGCAGGGGACGACTCCCCGGGATGGGCCTTGTGGAGGTCAGTCAGAGAACTTGGCTCCAAGGAGAAAGTAGCGTGGTGGTGGAGTGTGTGGCTCTGCTAGTAAAATGCCCGTGTCATTTTAGAGTAGGTGTGAGGGATCGGTTGGAAGAAGTCCCCCATTTGTTGTCAACTTCCAAACCGTGCGGCAGCTCACCTTGATTTGGTAACCATGATGATCCCGTGCTCGGTGGAGCGTAACATCTGGGACCTAGATGGCCCCTTGGAAAACATCAGGAATGTCTGAAAATCAGTCAGGCTGTGAAGCCACAGATACTGGGAATGTAGCCTGAGGGCCGTGTCCTTTGTGTGAGCAGTAGCTTGGTTCTGGCACTTTTTAGTGAAGTGTTTTCTCTGGAGCAGGAGGCGTAGAGTCTTGTGAGCGTAGTGTCCTCTTTTTCTTCCAAATCCCACTGCAGCCACAGCTGGGGCTTCTGAAATTGTAGGAGCCCAGTAGAGCGCTTCGCTGCTCAGTTTTGTTCAGGAAGCTGTTTTGAGACCAGTCAACTCGTACATCTCAGGTCGGGGATAACTTCACCTTCCTCATCTAGATACCTCCTCCCTAGGTGGATGCTCACTCGGGTTCATGTCGGTGCCATGGCGCGGCTTGGGGACTGTGAGACAAGGTGACCGGAGTAGATGGGCTTTCTGGGTTTTATTTTCTCCTTTTCAGCATCTTGCCTGAGAAACACTGTGTGCTCTGCGAAGTGTCCTGCTGGCAGGAGAGAAAACAGGACTCACACCATCCAGATTTATTCCTAATGGTTGTCTGTTCAGGTCATCAGACTTGAATCGGGGTGAATGTTGTCTCAGCTCCCCAAAGTGTGAGAGATTTGGTGGCAAATGGAGAAGAAAGCTGGGGTTTTCCTTTAGTCGGTGTGGAGAGAGGCATGCGCTTATGGGCTTTGAATGCTAGCTCGGCAATATTCTTTACTCGCGAGAGCCTCATCCATCCTTCCCGCCTTGAGGGAAGTGCCGGTTAATCGGAAGAGCCATATGCTAGCTAGTCACCGACATGGAGGAGGAGGACAGCTCATCGCTGTCTGCATTCTGGTTTTAGCTCTCGTCAAAGAGTTCTGGGCTTCAGATGATTCGCCCCTTGGAATCTGTGCTTACCCTCTTGTCATCAGGTCACTGTACTTTCTGTGCAGATGTTCGTTTGTACTTTGCAACCTAGTAGCATCCCTGGATGTTTGCAGCTAAAAAGCGGGGGTAGTATCATAATGTAAGACAGAAATGGACTTGTGAAACATGTGTTGGCTGGACGAGCAACTGTACTGTAACTCTGGAGTTGTTTAATTTTTCAGGTATCATGAACTGGTCACAAAGTACGGGAAGCTGGAGCCCTTGGCAGTCGTGGATCTTCGGCCACAGAGCAGCGTGAAGGTGGAGGTTCACTTCCAGGATAAGGTGGAAGAGATGTCGATCCGTCTCGATCAGACTGTGGCAGAATTGAAGAAGCACTTAAAAACTGTAGTGCAGTTGTCAACAAGCAACATGCTGCTCTTCTACTTGGACCAGGAAGCTCCTTTTGGTCCCGAGGAGATGAAATACAGCTCGCGAGCACTGCATTCTTACGGCATTCGGGATGGAGATAAAATTTATGTGGAACCCAGAATGAAATAGCCTTTTTGACCTTGTGAGTGCACGTACGTGCACACACCTGCCCCACACACCCACACACATGCATTAAGGAGTTTTTGCAAGGTTTTTATTTCGGTCGGTTGGTTGAGGTTTGGTTGCGTTTCTGTAGCAGGTAATTTCTTAGCCCGGAGGAAGTGCCCTGATCTGAGAACCATGCCCGCCATCCACTGCAGGTGACCTTGAGGTGACACTTGACTTCGGTGCATGTGTTTCAGTGTGTGCAATACCTTGATGTTTTCTTCGACGCTCCGGTATACTCGTGATTTGGCATGAATGGTCAGTTGTTCAAGCTAAAGAATGCTAGGGTCCATAAGGGAGAGGATAGTTCGGTGCGGAACTTGAACTTTTTTTTCTTTTTCTAAATTTTTGGGGATTTGGCTCCACCAGAGCGCCCTTTGGCCTAGCTATCTCACTGTGGCTCGAGCTTGCTGAAGTATTTTTTTGCAGCTGGGTGTTGTCTCAGCCTCTTGTTGCACTCGAGTTCACTGAAAAGATCTAAAACAGTATTCTGCTTGATTCAGAGCTCAGGTACTTAGTGCATCCACTTAACTCCACTGGTTTGGTTTGTATGAGTGCACGAAATGGGGGAAAGAAAGAGACCTTAGTAGAAGGAAACAGTTTATTTTCAAAACGCACGCTCTATATCCACGCCGTCCTACGCTGATTTTTGAGGGGGGGAAAAAAAGGTAAAAAAGATTTGCTTTCCGTAGCCACTGCACACAGTGTCTGCAACCTGTAGCGCCGGCAGCCTGGAGGCAAAGGGACCCTTGCCGTGTGCATTGCAAAGGGAATTTTGGAAGGCGGTGGATGGGCGTTGCATTGGAAGGGCTTTTAGGGCAACAGGTCGAAAAGGGGTTGAAGAGCAGATTCCCCACATTGGCCGTGATTCATCCCCATGGTGCTGAAGAGATCCTCCAGTATGTACTTAACCTGGTACCAGTTTGTACTGAAAGTGGAATGGCTAAAATTGCTCTCCTGAGAGAGAGTAAGACTAAAGTTGAAGTTTGTGTTTGTTGCTGTTGCACCAGAAGTGAAACCTAGCACTTTCCCTGGGGGCCCTTGGCTGCGGGGTCCCTGCTTAGGGTCCGAACTAGGAGAATGCGTTGGCTCGGATCGGTTTCTAGAAGATGAGTAACAAAGCAACTAGACTCGCGTTTATTGTAAAGCAGGTTTTCACTATCTATATTGGCTTCCCCACACACGCACCTCATAGGCATCGCGTGCTGCTGCTTAAATTAGACCCCGTTTTCTGCTGCAGAGCAGATTCCCTTTCTTGTGCGATGAAACCCTCCTTCCTTTATATCTCCTGTTCTGCTTTCCTGTGTCCTTCCTTGTTCCTCTGTCCCCCTGACAAGTTGAAGACTTTTGAAATTACCTAGTTATAAGCAGCTGCATAAAAGTTTTTGAAGCTGTGCAGTGAGGGCTCTAGTTACACATGAACTTTTGACCTTAATTTTGAAATGCTCCCTTATCCCCACGTGCACTTTCTTTCCCATGATGCTTTTGTCCACATCACCGAGCTCCTTTTATATTCTTGGAGTTGTGTATTTCTCTTCATATTTTACCTAGATTGTGGGGTGGGGTAGGATGGGGAGGGGATAAAGTATTATCTCACAGTCTTCAGGTTCAGGATGTGGGGACCGTTTGGAGAGGAGTAGTTCTGCATCCAGAGTAATGATTAAAAATGGGAGGATTTAAGACAAGATAATAATTTGTGCCTCATCCCCCTGCCAAAAACGTCAATCTCCTGGCCCCGTCGAGATGAGCAATAGGAAACGGAGCAAGACTCGCTGTAGGGAGCATAGAGGCTGCAGCACGTAGCTGCGGAGCCGTGGTATCCATAAAACAAAAGAACGGGGAGATGGCAGCAGTGTAACATAAGATGACGCTTTTATAAGCTAGAGCTTTACTGAAGATGTATTTTCCATTTGGGCAGAGAAAGGCATTTGCTGCCTTATAGCAGAACTCTTAAGCCAACACTTCTGTATGATATATACATACATACGCATAGGAAAAGTTGTGTTTAATAAGATATTTTGTTATAAAACAAAGTTTTATGAAGATATGGTTGTTTAATATTAGAAGCCTATTTCTCCCCTTGACGTCCGGTTTCGGTAGGTTATCCCTCAGTCGCTGCGATGTCAGAGGTAAACGACTGACGGGCATGCAAAGATATCTCTGACCTAATTCTATAGAGCAGTAATTGCCTATGTAGGTATATTTATGGCATTGTAACTGGTATTAATGAGATGCTGTAACTATTGACCAGCTTCCTCAGCACAATTAAATGTCTCTGTTTCAGAGAAGGAAATAAACAAAGACCATTAAAGAATTGAATGGGATGTTAAAGAAGACCCAAGTATGTGCTTTTAAGTTTGTTCGCCCACAAAAGGTTAGCCTGTCCGCTAAGTCATGCTTTTATTTACGGCGGACCTGGTGGGAATGGGAAGATGGAAAAAGAGAACATCTGCTGGCATACGAGGTCGACAAGCGCCATGATGTAGCTGCCGGGGATTTGGTGCTAACACTCAAACTGGCTCCCCTGGTCTTTTTGGGTCAGCAAAAGTCTCGGTGTGAATATCACCGCCTTGCCGCTTCGTGGGGGGAAGGTTGTTTCTGGACTGTGCTCTCAAGCCATTCACCTGCGCAGCTAGCAGAGCACTCGTGGGGTGGAAACCAAAACTTCTGGTTGGCTTCCCAAGGAGAAAGAGTCACGTCCAAAACGTGGGTACAGTTTATGCGTCCAGATGATTGACTTTGAAAAGCAGGGCCAAATGTCGCGCAACCGATGTGGGAAAATATCCCAAGTTGGCTCGCTTTCCTTTTGTAATTCCTTTTTGAAAAAGGTCTTGTATCTGTGCCACGTTACTGCTTAACAGGGGACTGTGTTTTGGCGAGAGAGAGGAGGGCTCTGAGCGAGAGAGTGGGTTTGGGGCTGACAGTGAGTGCCGAGAATTTGGGAGGGTCCTGAGACGGCGGGAGGTTTGATTTAAATCGATGAGGTGTCACGAGGGGTGTTGTCAGCATATACCCGCCCGCTGTAGCAAAAGGTCCCTGGTTCTGTTGCATTCCTTTGAGAAAACAAAATAGATTTGCAAGCTTCTCTAGCTTTTGCGTCCTTCTATCTGAGGGCTACTTTTGTCTAGAACTATTCTGTTGTTCATGCTAGTTCATGCATAAAAGTCTGCCGCAGGCAGTGGGAAAAGCACCTGGTTCGGAAGGAATTAGGTGACAGCTATATACCAAAGTGTCGCACAGCTCCGTGTATTGAGATCAGATGCTGTGCCGTTGTGTTTTTGGATACGTTCCTATTGAATATCCATGTTTTAACCAGATGTTTCAGGCGGATCGCCTAACTGGCGATGTTATGGATATGCGTGGTGTGGCGACTGTCCTCTGCTCCCTCGGCGGGATTTGTCACCCCCCTCTATCGGGACCTGCATACATCCTGGTGGCGGATGATACAATGAGGCCCGCGGTGGCTTGGAGGAGCTGCGCCTGATGGTGATTGTTGCTTCTGGGCAGAGGCTCTCGGTTTGCCCTCACCTACTCGGGTCTGTAATCCAAAGGTGGCAATGCGGCGGCTCTGTCTCCGTCGGTTGCCGGTTTTGCTTGTAAATGAGATTCTGTAGGTTCTGTTCGTGTGCGGATTTGAAAATGCAAACGAGGTACTGAAAGCAGCCCGGAGGCTAAAATATGTATTCCTGGCAGCTGTGCCTCCCTCATTGGAATGTGGCGCTTCGGTAGGCGTTAGAGAGACGCCTTCCCCAGAGCAACGTTAGAGGGGCTTTAGCCATCTCAGGCCTTTGCCTCTGTGATTGGTTTTCTGCAGTTACTGGAAACTTCAAATATAATTTAAACATGAAGGTCTATTCTTGCTCCCTAGTAATGATGTATCCATATGTAATTTTAAAGAAAAAGGAAGAACAGTAAGTCCATCTTGGGGTTTTTTTTATTCTGGTTTCTCTCACGGGGAATATACTTCCCCCTCCCGCAACTTGCCTTTGGTTTGCTCGCAGACTTAGCAGTGGAATTCAGGCCAAATAGGTAATTGGTTTGAATGAGTTCAATAAATTTATGTAAGTTTTTACACAAGAAAAGCGTCCTGAGTTTTGCACTTTTGTGTTCCCTGAAGCAAAATGCTTCCCTCCATCTCATCTGCACGTTTACCACACACCTTCAGGAGGGTGAAAGCTGCCGAGATCTTTTGTTGTGCCGTTTGTGCCGGCTGTCTGCCCGGTGAGCTCGGGCACAGCCACCTCACTTGTGCGCGATGCCGCTTGCCAAAAGGAGAAGTCGCAGTGTTGGAAGACCTAGTCCTCTTCTGGACTGTATTTCTCCGTGGCGGTGGCTCATCTCCGTTTCCAGGTGAGGAACAAGGCTCGAACTTGCTCTGTCACCTGCTCTGTGTCCTCGGTGGGACTGGCCTCTGGGTTAAAATGAGTTTCACCCCCCCGGTAGAGGCTTGCAGTTGCTGATGGGGAGGGGAGTACAGCTCATTAAAGCAGTAGTCGTAGGTTTAGCCCATGCTGGCCTGCACAGAACGACCCTGGGGAGAGGCAGGAGAAAGGAGATGCCCCTCCAGGTGGGAAGCAGCTCCCGGGCAAACCCCTCGGCAGGGCGTCTTCCCTGGGCTGGGCCAGGTCCCTTGAAATGGGAATGCGACAAGGCTCTGCCAAGGTCAAGCAGGTGGAGACACCCCTTGTCTCATCTTTTAATGCTTGGTTTTTCTCGAGGGCAGGCATGGGGAAGAAGTTTTCTGCTAGAAGGAGGAAAAAAAAAAAAAAAATAGAAGTGGTTGGTTGTTCAGCTCCGATGTGCTCAGCACTGCGTGATGGGAGCATCCCCTGCCAAAAGAAGATAGCCTAGAAGACAAAGTCTTTCCCCAAAGAGACAGTGAAACCTAATCGAATTTCGTCAGTGTAGGCTTGCCCAGGACAAACAGGACCACAATATTAAACTGCCAAAGGAGCAGAGGGAAACCTATTTTCACCAGTTTTCTCTGTCTTACAAAACAGATTGAGAAGAGTTAATTGATTTTCCTGTGGCTGGTAACGTTTAAAATTTGTATGGGAGGGAAAGGAAGAGCCAGGGTGTGTGGAGTGGCAGGCTGGAAGTAATCTGCCCCTGGAATATCAGTCAGTGCTTTATAATCCCCCTGCTCTCCTAAAGTAGTTGTTGAAAAGGGAAAAAATAAATTAAGAAAAAGAAGGAGAAAAAAAAAGGAAAAAGAAAGCTTCCTGCTAGCAAGGACATGCTTGGAGGATAA